CCCTGCGATGAGCAAAAAAACCTGAAAAATTCTCCCACCTCTTTGCTCGGGTCACAGTAAGGAGGCTCCAGATCTATTTTTCAACCAGCTTTCAGCTGCCCAAAGGCAAGTGCCCTCATTTTCTGTGATGCTGCAGACCTCTGTGTTTATGCACAAAACCATTAGGTTATGCAGACAAGGCAACATGAAAAATTCCTGACAAGCTCCAAAGCTTGAAAAGCTCAGGTTCTTGTGGCATTGAGCTGCTTCCTCCTCTACTGGGATGTGGCAACATATTTGTATAAGAATAAGCATCATAAAAAGGCAAAGGAATATTAAAAAACTAATTAGCTTTCAAAATCAAGTTATGAAAGCTTGCTTTTTATTAGTTTGTTTCTATTTCTCTTTGCAAAAAGATTGTTTTCAAACTATACAGGACTGCTGCCAAAAGTTTAAAATACCTCAGACTCCTAAAGTCAGTAAGTGCCTGGAACCAGAGTCTGTCCCAGTCAAGAGTGATTTGTCCTGGGCCTCTTTCTGCAGGTGCAGAGAACATTTCCTTTCTTTCCATTTATTTACCCTATTTAGCACAGTAAATATTCCATTCACCGTTAAAAACTCCCAACAGAGTTTGGAAAAAAAAAAAAAAGCACAGGAAAATTATTTTATTTTTAATTCAACTGCAAGAAGAAAACAAGAGATGAGACTATAGGATTCACCACTCTAACATCATGGAAATCCAGGCTGGAAAAAAACCAAGAACAAAACTTAATTCAGTAATGGTAGACCAAGATAACATTAAAGTCAATTTTAGATGCAAAACATGTTGACTACAGGTAGTTTAATGTAAAAATCAGTTAATGCATTTTAAATGGGTTCTAGTTTCCAAACACAGCTCAAAACCAAACATTCTGTAAAGGTCAGTCCATGAGAACTGTTTCTTTCCTTACAACACAGAGGTGGTGTGGAAGTTCAGTCTGAGTAAACGTGCGCAAGCAAAGAACTCATACAAATGTATTGGTCTAACCTAGCTCCGAAGTAACTATAAAGTATATCAAGCTTAGCACAGACACTTCAGGGTGAGAGTGTGCCTTTGTTACCAAAGAGAATTAAAATACCTTCTCAAAGAATGTCTGAAATTGTTAAACCTCAGACCCATCCATCCTGGCAGCACAGGCAGAGCGCTGGCTGCCTCCAGCAGCATTCCCCGGATCAGGGACACCTGCACGAGGGGCCCATCACGACTTGGGAGCACGGTGCCGGTTTTAGGTGGTGCCTCGCCCAGCTCTTCTGGCGTACACCTGGGAGTGCATTTTGAGAAGCACTTGGCTGCCTGCACGCACTATTTTAACACACTGAAATATCTGAGGCTGGCATAAGGTGACCCAAAGGTGTGTGCAGTTCTGTATTGTTTGAAAGCAACCTTTTTGCAAAGAGAAACAGAAAAAAACTACTAAAAAGCAAGCTTCCATAGCTTGACTTTGAAAGTTAATTAGATTTTTAATCTTTGCCTTATGATGCTTGTTCCTATACAAAGGCCCTTGCTGGCAGCTGAGCTCATCTCTACCACCATGTTGAAGAGGAAAAAGTGCTGATAAACCTGGCTTACAAAACTAGAGTCCATTTATCACCAGTTTTTGTGGAAAGGAAGTTATGAGCTTTTATCTAGGTAGTAACCTCAAACACACACATCCCCAGGGCAAACTGACATCCTTTTTGGACCAGTCGCATCTCATCTGTCTGCAGTGCCAATGATACCCTACAAAGGGCGAAGCAAGGGGGCTCTGGTCCCTCTTCTAGAGCTCGGAGGCATTGCAGGGGAACAGGCAGCTGGCACAGGACCAGGGCTGAGGGAGGCTGAATCCCACAGCTCGCCTGGAGGAACTATTTCAAGCATGTTAAATTTTAACCACACATGGCAGCATCTCTGCGCTCCAGGGAGAGGTCATTGCAGAGAATCACAAGCTCCATCCCAAGTCAGCCCAAAATAAGAAACAATATTTCAAAACATCCCAGCTCCCTGCAAGCTGAGAGTCTGGAATGGAGCTCTTCCTCTGCCTGAGGGCAAAAAGAATACACAGCTCTTTTCATCGCTGACCTTTAAATTGTCAAGAAACTAATACAAGCAATCTTCCCTGAGAAGGCACGGGGAAGGTGAAAAGAGAACATGGCATATGAATAAATGTAAATTCAGGGGGGTGGGGGTGGTGTGGGGAATCGACATTATATGATGCTGTGCCTGGTCAAGGCTATAATTAGAAGAGGAAGAAGCACAGAGTAGATGAGATTCCAGCTGTCATTCCCCATCGATGCTGCTCTGATGCACTCCGAGTTCCTAACCTGGAGCTTGGCAGCCACCCTATAAAAGAGGTGTTATGGGACTGTCCAAGAATCACAGGGATGCGATGTCCGAGAAGGCAGTTGTCAGTACTGGCATACATCCCAGGGAGCCATCTGAGATGCCCAAACCCTTCTGTACCCTGGGACCCAGCCTCAGGACACACAGAAGACTGTCTCCTTCTTGAAGAAACCGTTTTCTGTGGCAGGACCCTCTGCATCGCTCCCTCACCTTCATCCCGGCTTCGAAGCTGGCCCCTGTGCAGTGACTTTCAATGCAATATTTTTTTCACTCATCTTTCTCTTTCCTCTCTAACACTACCAGCCCAGCTCACCCAGTAACCAACTTGTCATGGAGGAGCTGACAGTGGTTCCTGCTGTGAAGCCCCACTGCCAGCACTGACCTCCAGGAGGAAGTGGAGAAGCCGCATCCTCCTCATCCCCGCTGGTTACAGCATCAGTGCTGATGTGCTTCACGCTGCTCCGAAGCCACCCCAGCACTAGAAGTGTCTGAGGGGCAGCTGGGAAGGGAACTTCTTTCATCTATCATCGTCTTTTCTTTGCACATCAGCTCCAAGATAACATCGAGGTGAGTAATTAGCAAAATTAGAAAACAGAGTTCTCCCAGAGGAGCATGAGCTGATGCAAGTGCCCAAGTCAGTGCTAAGCTGCACAAGAAAGGCGAAGCAGGAGTGCTACACGCTACACCTTCATGTGATTTTCCCAGTCAACTTATTGCATGGTTGGCTCCACATCCGAGTCATGGTTTTACACTTTCCTTGAGTGATCAAGTGTCAAGAGGAGGAACTGGCTGCTGTCTTGGTGCCAACACATGGCTCTGGCTTTCGAGGTGCAAGGCTAAGGGCTGCTCCTTCCCTGTTCCCAGTCCCACATGCTGAAAACCTGCTGCCTCCGAACTATCTCCCACATGTGCCATTTGAACCAGTTCTGGTAATACACCGGCTTGGTGACCGTGACCAGAGGGTGACATGCTTTAAGCACAGCTCTCCAAATTGCCTGTATCCCACTGACCTCCTTAACATCACCCACAGCGAGCTGTTACAGCACTGTCACCGCAGAGGGGACCACGAAGGTCAGACTCCTCCCAGCCCATCCGCTCTCAGAGCCCCCTCAGCTGTCCCACTTCTCCGCCCTGACTTAACTGAGGTGACAGACCTGCTCCCTACCAGCCACGCCGGGATCGCTTCCGCGACAGGCGAGTGGAGGTGCCTACGGGAATTGGGGCTGGAGACGCTCCCGGTTGTGCAAGAGCAGCTGCTGGTCGGCACAGCTGGTGCCTCTCTCCTTAGTGGCGGGGGGAAGACAAATTAATCAATGAAACCGAATCCGATTCATCAGAAATTACAGCCATCTGTTAGACTATTAATAGACACAGAACTCATGTGAAGCACTGGCATTAATATGCCAGGAATATCTTTTTCTGGAGGAAAAGTGTAGGTTAGTAGCAACTGCAGTGTTGGGAGGGGAGAGAGCAGGGTGTTGATGGTGGTGTTTAATTTGGTTATTATTTTACTTCTGTGATATCCAATTAGGCAATTTCTCCCCACCTTCCTCCAGCACAGCATCTCACCCTCAGAAGGCTAAGCCCTTTTTTTTTTTTTAACTATATATAATCCTCACCCTAGGCCTTCTTCAGATTCCTGCAATATTCACCTACCTGCCTATTCATGTCTAAGGACTCTTCCTACTGAAGGGAGGGCAGGTTCAAGTGGTAAAGTGTCTCAATAACCTCCCAGCCCCAACTTCAGCAATGGACACACCACAGCCTTGTCAGGTGCACAGACTGAAAACCAGGAGTGGTTTTCACATAGGAGACCAGTAAAACACTTACAGAAATCCCATAGCACCTAAGCCAACTCATTTTCACTTCTTGTACCAAGAGACTGAACAGGTGGGGGTTCAGGAAAAGGAAACAACTTTCCAGGTTATTTTAAACCATATCTATTATTTTTGAGATACACATTTAAACTGCATGCGTATTTTGCTCTTCCTTCTTTATAATCAAGTTATTTCTGTACTGTGCTCAATTCTCTTGTGAGAACAGGCAGCTAAAATAAACACTCCATATTTACTCACATCAAATAGTTTTTCCAAGAGGAACCGAAATAAAACTGACAAGCGGCCTATTTTTCCTTAACCTCTGGCTTTTTGTCCTTGAAACATCACGACCGGAGGAACCAGCCTCCCTCGCTCGCACTGCTATTTGCTCCCTCTGAAGCAGACGCAGCGGATACACCAGAGATGAGGCGGCACAACGAGCCAGTTTACATTCATGCCATTTTTCTCACGCCTGACTGACTAGATACAGCGCAGCCAGAAGAGATTTAACACACCTCTCTCCTAATGCGTGCAAAGGGGAACACAAGGAGCCCTGTCCTTGCCACTGGCAAAGCGGGCACCCTGCTCTCCCAGTGCAGCCCCAGGACCAGGCTAGTGCTGCTGAATTCACCTCCCCAGCCCAGGAATGAAACTAGTGAAGGGTGGACAGCTATGAAATGGGCCACCTACAGATGTCAGACAAACCACACCGAACAGACCGAGGGTAGGAAAGCTGTAATAGATCCTGGAGATGAGCGTAAGCCAGCCATGACAATATAGGCGAGTGGCCAGCAGAAAGGCACAGCAGCTCAAGACCTCGACACATTGTGTACAAAAAGCAGAGTCGGAGCCTGAAATAAGATCCAGGCTCCAGCAAAATGGACTAATTCCAAGTGTTTGAAAAGCTTCAAACAGCTGTGGGGAGGAAGAAAACTCTCACAGCCTGTGGCAAGGCAGAGCAAGACAGACACGAAAACAAGGTCACCTCTAAAACTGAACAGGCATTGAGACTTTGACAACACCCGGAGGGCACGGGTGGTGCTGGCTGGGCACACCCAGCAGGCTCCCGCTGCTAAACGATGTTTGAGGAAAATCCTCCTTCAAGAAATTTGACAAGACTTGCCCACCCAGAAGACGCCCAAGAAACCAACACCGCTGTAAGTCATGTTTCCCGGGATCTGGGAAACACAAGACACGTCCCAGCAGACAACAGAAACAGCCTTGCTCCCTCCGGTGACTTGCCACCAAGCCCAGCCTCCCTGCAGCACCACCTGGCAAATCTGAAGATGTTGATGTCCAGACAGAAGGCTGAGTATGAATCTAAAATTGCAAGGTAAAGGATTTTTAAAACTATGAGGCTTCGGGAAAGGCAGCTCTGCCTACTGCATGCAACTACTGCAGGACTGTTACCTGTGGCGGGGTCTGTGGCTGCTGCTGCAGCCAGAATGTCACCCAGGATCCAGCATTACAGGCTTAGGTTAACAATTATTCAGAGTTATTTGAATTCATTTTCATGTGAGATGTTGAGAAACTCCAGAGTATCTATAAAATTTTTTGCAGGGCTGTGCAGAGCTCTTGAAAAGCCTCTGCTCTATTGTGTATTTTCCCTTTTTGCCTTAATCCGATACTGAGCATTTCTCTAGAGAAAAATGGGCAGGCTTCTCAGCAGCATTAGCCATAAGTCATTATTCTTTACAAATTGCAAGTCATGAATTTTAACAACTCAGAGGGAAGTGTTCATAAGTTCATAAGTATTTCCCCAATTTCTAAGATGAGAAATTGAATACAGATTTAGCCATAGCTTGTTATCAAGGGAAAAAAAAAAACCCAGAAACAGTTCCAGGGTCTACTTTCCAAATAGTACTGCTTTTCTATTGTGTAGTTAGAAGGAAGGAACATTTTAAATAACGAACAGTATTGTATTTAAGTTACAGGTATGTTGTGCAAATTGACTATTTGATTAAGTTATAAAATACCTCAACATGCATCACTGAAACAGATGGCAAGTGGGTAATGCTGAATTACACTTCGCCTTGAACATTGCATAAAGAAAAAAAAAATATTTAATCTTTAGTTTCTTCAAAAAAATATTAATTTCTTCTTAGGAAAAGGAGCTATTCCTAGGTTCTTCGCTTTTTTTTCCTGTTTTAAATCTCTTCACCGTATTAAGCTCGTTTTCCCTTACAGTTCAAGGGAACTGCAATACAAGCAGAATCCTCAGTGTTTCCTAAAATGAGTTGCATTGCCATTTGTTGTTAGACTACTGTAGTATTCTACTATAAAAAAATACCCAACCCCAAAGCCAACTCCTTTGGCCATATGGTTATTTATATTTATTGTAGACTAGGATAACTAAAAATTGCAGCTTTTATTTTAACACCATAAATTGGAAAACTATTAGGGTTGCCAATACTTGTATTTATGGGAACATATGTTAAAAATTGTTAGCTTTAATAAAGCCTATAGATTTATTAAGGAAGGGGGGGGGGGAAAAATCCTGTATTTACAATGTCTGTGTTTCCAACAGCCTGGAGCAGCGGCACAGAGAGCTGCAGTCGGAAATTAAGGGTATGCAGTCAAAACTGGGACAGCAGCGTCAGTGTTACAGTCTTGTGGAGATGAAAATGCAAAATGCAGAGAGAGCAAAGGAAGATGCAGAGAGAAGAAATGAAATGCTCCAAAAAGAAATGGAAGAGTTTTTTGAAACCTTCAGGGAAATTAACAGATGGAAATAAACAGGAGTGTGCTCAGCTTGAAACAGAGTTAAACTGTAAGAGAGAGAAAGGCTAGATCCTGAGTCCAGCACATGCTCCCATTTCAGTGGTGCAATAGGAAACCCAAGAGCAAACCAGGCTGTCAGTTATAAAGGGAGCAGTTGGTACAAACTCTTTGGGATCCCTGAACTCTAGGAGCTCTGCACCGCCCTGTTAATGCCAGGGATGCCTTCTCTTACCACTAGAAAAATGTCAGACACTTAGCACTACCAGCTCCCACGCCAGCCTGCGCCGCGTGCTGGGGAAGCAACCCTGTGCTTCTTGTCTAGCCTTGAGTCTTGTTCTGGTGCACTAAATGCCTGAGTGGCATTAATCAAGGGATGTCACACTTGCTGGAATATGTTTTACCAGCCACCCCAGAAATCCCACAGGTATTACATGGGCTGTAGAGCGTGCTGAGCTCATGCCTGCATCCCAAAGTCAGGTGTTGGCAGAGACAAATTCAGAGAAACCATGAGACAACACACTGGCAGCTCCCTACAGTTCCCACCAGCACCCACGTGGTGCTGTGCCTGGGACGCAGAGCTGTGGTGCAGCTCCTGTCCTCTCACCGAAGGGATATTCATTCATGGTCTGTTACAAAGCCATTTGCTCCTCTGGATTGTAATTAGCCTCCCTACAGGACTCCCATAAGAACACATTAGTCTTAAGACTGTCACTGGTAGGCTCCCTCCCTCAACATCTCTTCAGAGCCACGTCTCTCCACACAAGAAATGTGTTAACTACTTTAATACCATCATTAATGACACATATTCAATTAAGTATCAGGAAAATAACCACTGCTCTTTTAACCTACTGCCAAAGAACTTTAACATGAACAATGGCATCTATATACTTAAACCTGTACTGAATTTAAAATTATACTTTATATGACAAACACACGTGGTTCATTATTTGCCCTTCAGCAAGATTAGATGTGACCATCTACTTGATAACTCGGTGTCTCATAAAACAGCTCACGATGTGTAAGCAGAAACTGCACAGGTGCTTTACTTCTTCCCCAGAGAGGAGCGAGCAGCTTGTTTTAAGATCCAGTGTGAGTGAATCAAACCACCAGCCCATTGCCCCGCAGGGTTCCCGGGGCGAAGCAGCGCTGCTGCAGCCCTTTATTCACACCAGCTCGCTGGGCAGCCGCCTCCACACACTGCCCGGACTCCCCCAGTGCATCATTGAACCATAACTTGTTTCTTTGCCATCTTACCTTCACACCAAGTAATCACGAACTGAGCAGTTTTTTTCATTTGAATTCCACACACTTACATTGTCCTTGTTTCATTTTTCCCCCTTTTTTTTTTTTTTTTTTTTAAATCTTCTGAGACCTCATTACTATGAATAAAAGAACTTCTGAAGGCCCACTTTCCTCAAAAATTATTTGAGTCTTGTTTAATCAGTTCCTTCACCAGTTACCTTTCTAGAATTGTCCTGTCAACTTCAAGAACTTGCAGGAAATAAGGAAAAGGTATGGTGTCAGGCAAAGAATGTACTTGGGTAATACTCTGTGAAGCTCTTCCCTGCACACGTCATTCTCCTCCATTATTTTTTTGTTCTCCGTCTCATGAATTAGATCTTCCCCTGTAGCTGAAAAGCAACCTGAAAAATATCCCATCATCAAAACCAGGACAGTTTTGGGATCTACTGGGCACCCCTGTTTTATCCAGATACTCTGTTGCAATGTCCTGCAGAGAAGAAAAAACTTCCAAGTTCTCCATGCAAGAAACAGCAATGCTGCTGTAAAAAATATTTCAGACTGTCACAGGTGAAGCTTTTACAATGCCAAAGCCTGGCTGAGAGCTCTAGCCGTGTATTTAGAAAGGCAGCTATGTTAACCCTTCCTTCAGTATCAGAAAACCTCCATGGAAAAGCAGTTAGATCAAAGGGGCAGTTAAATTTTACTTCACCTTCCCTGGAGTTAGACCAGACAGCTCTGCAAAGTGCCTGGAAACCTCCTCGCTCTCTTTGCAAGAATGCTTAAATCTTCCTCAAAGTACATACAACGGAACATTCTTCCTGTTAGCTGTACCTCTGTCTTGTTCAGTGAGAACAAAATGAAACATAACACTGTTTGAGCACAAGGTGAAGAGAAAAATTTCCAAAGTTCTTTTGTATATGTACATATATACACACACATATACAGCCAATAACTTATCCAAAACTTGCACGGAAGTCTCACAAACTGATTACGATACTGTTTCTGCACGTGGATGGGAATACAGATCTGTCGAGTATTACCAAAGACAAGCTTCTGCAATTAAAAAAAAAATCATTTCAAAATACACTTGGCAGTAAAACCAAGTGCTGTTAATGTGCTCAAATGTTCCAGCAGACCAGGAGAAAGCAGCTCCAACCAATCTCTTACGTTGGTTCTTCATTCATTTTTCATACCAATACTTACATTTTGGTTAACTGGAAGCTGAAGTAGAAACTGAAAGTATGTGTTACGACAACTATGAGCATACGTCACTTTGGTTACATAAAACATTCCACTTCAACACAGGAATAATCAAGAAAAAGAAAACACTGATACAGTAAATAAGACAAACTGCTCAAATCTTTTAATTATACATATTTATTTGTAATTTTACAGTGGCTTTCATATTATTTTATGGTAAGGTTTCTGGAGGAAAAAAAAAAAAAACACAAAAAGCTTCAGAACAAGGCTTCAACTAGAACTTCAGAATTAGCTATTGACAGTTTTCCTTATGAAATTCTAGTTAAAAAAAAAAATCAATCCAAAAAGCAAGGAAGCATGACTGCCATCCATAAAAAAAAAAAACAAAACCAAAAAACTTTCTAGTCATCCTGAAAACAAAGTCCAGCATCAGACAAAACAGCCACTGCACTTAAAGGAACATGTTCCTATTGCACAAGCATCAAGAATGAGATATGACAATCAAAGCCTAATTTCATAGGCAGAAGAGGCCACGTGTATCTATATAATTAGACTTCCAAGCACATCTTCCTTCTGAAATTATATACCATACTATAACTAATATTAAGGCCATAAAATCAGAACACTGTAACAAGTGATAGGGCTTGATGCTACTTTTTGTGACATTTGGTAAACAGAAGGTGGGAAAGAGGGCCAAAACAAGACATACTAAGCATTCTGAAGGTAGTTAAAACTTGAAGGCATTTCAAAAGAAATTCTCAAAAAACTAATTTTTGAAGGGGGTTTATTCTGTGTCATTAGGTAAAACTGAATTTCATAATAAATTACTCAAGAAGACTATTATACTCTTTAACAGCCCATGTTCTGGAGTATACTACAGATTATATTCTCTGGAATTACCATTTTAATTTGTAAGAAAACAGTTAATTATTTCTATTTGTTATTCACTCCTTAAAATAGATGAAAATTTGTATAATCTTTATAAATTATCTAAGTGACCAGGTAAAGCTTCACTGTATTGAGTTAACTGCACACAGGTATCTGATTTGCTCTTAATTAGGTATCTTGATTACACTAAACTGCTAAAACCACCTGGGGAACCCAACATGTCCTGTAACTTAAAGAAAGGGATAGTTATATATTGCTATCTTTTCTAATTGTGTTCATTTTATTAGTGTATAAAACGCCTGAAAGCAATAGCTCCAAAGCAACAGTATCCACCACAGAAGTTTAAACATTTTACTTTAGGAAAATCTGGGAATCTGATGAAGCTGAAAATGCACATTAGTCATTTTATAAAGATTGGCCTGCCACCACTTAAGAAAATATAGGTATCAAAAACAGACAAATACACTGCTAACCATCTGTTACATTTTCTTTTAAAAAATTAGCACCAATTTAAGCATCTGAATTCATAGAAAAGCTAGTGACACTTGTTTTTTTCAAAAAAGTTTTTCCCCATTAGAAGACAATACAATAGCATATGTTCATGGGTATTAAATTAGCTTTGTTATCAGTAACAAATGCGATTACTGTTTCAGGTAGAGAACATAAAATATTGTTCTTACCTGACTGCTTTCGCCTCTGCTTTTGCTGTCCTAAGAAACTATGGAGTGCTGAACTACAGACCCGGCCTGGGAAACAAATACACAGGTACTTGCCTAAGGACACCCTAGAAAGCATCAGGGTTTTGGACCAGTATTTTAGAGCAGGGACAGTGTCTTCCTGTGGTATTTACAGAGCATCTATTGCAGCTGAGTCCCAATAAGCAGATGTTCTGGCCTTACCACAGCACATACAACTACCTTAGGATGTGTAGCCAGAAGTTAATAAAAAGTTTTTAATTTAAGAAAAAGAATCCTAGTGCTCAAAGCTAGCTGACCTTGCTGTAGGTACACACCCTGTTGTGTCTTTGTTGTATCTTTATATAATAGATAGCTAGGTAGTCACATTGCTATTCAAGTGATCCTACAGGCATGAGTACAAGATGTTTCTCAAATGATCTCTGTGTGTTAAATTTCATCCCATAAAAAAAAAAATTCTAATTTCAAATTTCTGAAAATAGGTTTATATTTAAAGGAACATACTGATCACATCTATCAGAATAGGAAAGATTGCAACCAAAATTCAAACATATTAAACATTTTTTATGTCATTCCTTTTTACACCATATACTGGCTGTATTTAGAAGAATCCTAAAGTGCTTCAAACACAGCAATTAATAAAATTGATGTCTCTTGTGCAAAACTGCAAGCACCTTTTCAAAAAATAAGCAGCAGCATCAAGAAATAAAAACTTAAATGTATTTTCTCTATTTTGGTTTGAATTATTGGACCAAAATAATTTGCCATATTTTCAATAACAAATTGAAGAAGTGTGCATTTTATTAGTTTAATTTTATACTGGACTTGTTATACATATACTGTTTGAAATAGCGGACCCAGGTGAATTTATTTCCACAAAGCAACACTGTGGGATTCAAATCCAACAACTAAAATTTTAGCTACAAAAATAGTCATTTCATAGAACACAAACAGAAACAATGGTTATCTCTCCACTTTCCTCCAACACTGACATGAGAAAAGATGGTTTAACTTAAAACATTAGTTTAGCTCCAGACATTTTTAGCATGCAGAGCGGGCAAAAAAATAAAACTGATTTGGTAAGTTGTGTA